CACGTTTGGTAGCCAATCAACTACAAAAGACAGATGGTGAACAGATTTTCCTGATGCCTTACAATCCAAGGTTAGTCTCCTTAACAGCATTTTGTTTGTATGATGCACTGCATATAAAACTGTTTAACCTTTATATTTATTTTGTGCAGCCGTCATTGGGTCTTGATCATTGTGAGAGCAAAGAAGGAGACTGTGTATTTTCTGGATCCACTGCCCGGAAATCAAGTTGTTGATGAGGAGGGAAAAAACATAGTGAACAGTGCTATCAAAATGTATAATTCACACATAGGCAGACAAGGCCGTAAAGCACCTATTTGGAAAACTCTACCAGGCACACCAAAGCAACCCAGCAATGTAGAGTGTGGCTATTATGTCATCCGCTTTATGAGAGACATCATCATGGATCCTTCCCTGGAGTTTGAGAAGATGGTAAGAAGAAAATTTTCAGATTTATTTTATGTGTTTTGTTGTATTATCAACGACGGTAAATTAAAAATACCGTCGTTGAATATATATACTACGTCGGTAAATGAAAAATAGCATCGTCTGTGTATATATATTGAATTTCTGTGTATTTATAAAGCCTAAATAATCATTGTTTATGGATTGCAGTTTGCGAAGGGAAAAGATCAAGCGCCATACACCCAAGAAGCCATTCAAGAAGTGAGGAAAGAATGGGCAGAGTTTGTTTGCCTTCATATGGAGTAGAGGATATTTAGAACACTTAAACATTTTTATAAAATGTTCAAAATTTTGTTAGAATTAGACAAGTTTTTGTACAAATTTTATGTATAATGTACATTCTTTTTTTCCCTATGAATTTAAAATTGGTTTTCATTATTTAAAAAAAAAAGAAATTGCGTGACTGACGTGTAATAAACCTCCAACGACATAATTATATCAAACATCGTCGTCTTATTGAGTACAATCGTGGTTAATAAATAAAATAAAAGAAATGAAAAACACGACTGTACATTTACAACCGACGTAAAAGGAATTTAGACGACGCTAAGTTAATTGTTTGAGTCATGATATAGAGTATGTACGTCGCTTATAGCCATTAAACGAAGGTTGTTTTTACAAGTAAGTCGTTTATAAGTTTTACAACGTCGTTCTTTTCTTAGCGCCGACGTGGTTTGTGTGTCTTTATATCTATTTAATTCAAAATATTCAAAATAAATTTAAAATAAATCCAAAAAATGCACCGTCAACCTCCGTGTAAATTTGTTGAGGTTTTCATGTTGTGAAAAACCCAAGTTCATGCTGAACCAAATTTGTTGAGGTTTTCATGTTGTGAAAAACCCAAGTTCATGCTGACCAAATTTGTTGAGGTTTTCATGTTGTGAAAAACCCAAGGGCACTTTCTAAACCGTCGTTTATTTAAACTGACGTGGTAACAAATAACAATGTCATCGTTTGAAACAAAACAGACGTAACATAAATTTCAGACGACGCTTTTTATATATACCGTCGTAATGAGAATTAGACGGCGATAAATTAATAGTTATTTCGGGTATATAAGTTTTACGTCGGGGTGCGTGTATATAAGTTTTACGTCGACCCGCCATTGTTTCGCTTCTAAAGACGACGGTTTTTAAACGTAAGTCGTTTATTACTTTTATAACGTCGTTCTTTTCTTAGAGCCGACGTGGTTTGTTGGTGTTTATAATAATATTTTATTCTATTTAATTCAAAAAATTCAAAATAAATTTCAAATAAATCCAAAAATTGCACCGTCAACTCCTATGAAGTCATTATGATATTTTCTTCCTCTTAAGCTTTAAAAAATGCAGTTTGATTTATACAATTTTAAAATGACCACAAAAAAAAAAAAAAAAAGTTTTGATGCATCACAACATCACTTATAGTTTGATGGTTTAGGGTTTAGGGTTTAGGGGGGTAAAGGTTTATTTTTGGGGTTTAGGGTTTATGGTTAATATATATTAGGCCGTAAATCCATAAACCCTTTTTGAAAGATATACGAAAGTTCTAAAGGGGTATGTTTAGAACCGTACTCATCCCGAAGGTTGCATTGCTGAGCGTTATATAGCTGAAGAAGCTGTAGAATTTTGCACCGAACATTTATATGATATTAGTACAATTGGAGTGCCATCAAGTCAGAAGATAGGAGTTTCAAAGTCATTATCAGGTTGCACAGTGAGCTTAGTTGATCGGGACCTGTTGAACCAAGCACATCTATATGTCTTGGAGAATACGGAGGAAGTCCTACCTTATATCTAGTATGAGTTTTATTCTTTAAGTTTCCATTCTAAATTATTCCTTATGTTTATCTTATATGTTTGGAACCGTAATGCTTGAATTTTTCGTGTCATGTAAGGAACATATGATCCACATTAAGATCGCTTATCCAAAATTTAGAAAGAGAACAAAGTGGCTGCAAGATAAGCCCAATAGCACTTTCATTCAATGGCTACGCTTCAAGGTATATATTATTCAATAACATATTGGACTTTTAATTTTATTCTTTCTATGTTAGATTGAATTAAGATATGATTAATTTGCAGGTTCAAAGTGAACTTAATGAGGGAGACAATCATGGCGTATCAAAAAATTTAAGGTGGCTAGCAGTTGGTCAAAACATGGCAGTGCTATCATATAGGAGCTATCTTATTAAAGGTGTTAAATTTAACATCAAGGCACAAGATGATGTGCGGACAGTTCAAAATAGTGGAGTTTATTTACTTGCACATACCATGCAAGTTGTTAGTGCCAAGGATAAAAACTCAATTCTCTCAAATATGTGTTTTTATGGTGTCATTCAAGAAATTTGGGACCTTGACTACCGAAAGTTTACAATCCCAGTCTTTAGGTGTGATTGGATAGATAGTACTTTCGGCCTTGTAGTCGACGAACTTGGATTTACCCTTGTAAATTTGAGTAAAATTGGACATAAGAATGACCAATTTGTTTTGGCTTCTCAAGTCAAACAAGTATTTTTTGTTAACGACCTGATGCATCATGGTTGGTCGGTAGTGTTATCAATGCCTAATAGAGAATATAATGATGTTATTGGTGATGATGTCTTAGGTGATGTGAGAATTGAGTGTGAGCCATTTACTAGAGGGATGCCAAATGTTGACACATTTGATGAAGTGGTGGGTGAGTTTGGAAGTCAAAATATTCGAGATGGGTGTGAAGATATATGGATTGAATGATGCTCTTGTAATTTATGAAATTACTTATGCCATAAACAGCACTACTGTATGACATTAATTTTGTAATAAATTGTAATGTGTTTTCTTCACTTTCATTATGCAGGTTTTGGCCACAAAACAATCAGTACATAAAATACTGGTTCAATATTATAAACGACGGTCCTGATAAAAATGTGAAAAACAGACGTCTATTTAAATAAAATTGTCATTAAAAAAATGACGTTTTGGAGCATTCAACGACGGCAATGTATTTACCGACGATATTGTGAAACAGTTATTAACGATATCACGTCGGAGAAGGCTAAAGAGCCGACATGTAATTACAAATAACACGACTCCAATCCCATAATACTGACGTCTAAAAGATGAGATATCTAACCTGAACGTTACAAAAGACGACGTCTTAGATCATGAACTTGTCCTTAACAACTCAAAAATCGTCGTCTTAAATTTTACCACGTCACTTATTATCTCATAAACAAAGTGGAAAAAGAACAATTCACGATGTTATTTAAAATCCATAGGTAAATTTGTCGACGTAAAGGGATATTTGGACGTCGTTCTTTTACCAAAAAAAAAAGGTTATATAGGAATATCCCCGTCTCTTTTTTATTCTTACGTCGTTAAAAGAATTTTCCACGGCAATTGCCTGACAAACTTTGCCGTCTCAAATGGATTAGACGACTGTCATTATGGTAAAGACGACGTATAAATTTCGAAACACGGCTGTCTTTTACATGATATGAATGTTGTACATCAAATACAACGTCGTCTTAAGAAATAAATGTGTCGTAAGTCATGACCCTAACATATTTTCCACGTCGTTTATTTTCAGATCATGTCGTTAATATACATTTATACGGCGATCGACTGAAAATTTGTGCCGTCTAAAACATATTAGACGACGATCGTGTTTTTAAAGACGACGTTGTTCATTAAATATAACGTCGTCTATAAAAATACATGTGTCGTAAGTAAATACCCTAACCGCTATTTCCACGTCAATATTAATGGAAAAAACGAAGTGGAAAATTTATTTCACGACGGTTATATAAATAGTGGTGACGTAGTATGAATTAATAACGTCGTCTTTTATTTATTTAAAGATGTCATAACTCTATTTCACGTTTCTTGTTTGATCATGTAACGGCTGTGAGTTTTAGTTTTCGTCGTGGTATGCGTCTCTTGCGGCCATGTTCTGTTAAAATATGTCATGTGTTGCCTTGTTAAGAACGTTAGTTTGTTAAAATACATCGTCTATTCTTATCCTTGACAATTTTTTTTGTCGTGTATTTTTAAAACCTTTGTAGCAATTTTCGGTGTATTTTTCTGATTTTTAATTATTTATTTATGAATTTTTTACACATAAACTTTATAAAAGTATCAAAACTGCCACGTGGCGCAATGACAGGAGGACAGGCATCAGACACATTGACTGCGCGCCATTCAACTTCCGCCATGTGTCGCCCCATACGATTTAATATTATTTTTCTAGGATTTAACTTATAAAATTGACAAAAAATTAAATACAAACCCCTGACCAATCAAATAATCAGGCTATGTAAATTGTGAATTCAAATTGTTCTTTGCTCCTGGAGCTTTGGGTTTCATTATAAGATGTTTAGGTAAGAAGCTAACTTTTTGTTTGATCAAGTTAAAGTGAAGGCCAATGGGTTCGCACCACAGTGGTGGTGGATTCCCCCTTCCCCCCATGGCACCCAGGATCGAACCCCAGTGGGATTTCTTTCCTCCAATATAACCAAAAAAAAGTTAAAGTGAAGGGTCTTTGTAATTCCTCTCCTAAAAATGATTAATTGGCTCCGTCATGTCCTAAAAATCCCATGTCTCATAGGATTGAAAATTGGAACCATACAACACAATGCTTGCTTTGACTTTTATATGTAACTTTGACCTCAACTATAATACTAGAATATTGAACAACAATAAAACCACATAGAAAATAAATAAATAAAAAATAATTCAGACTTTTGACCCTATTCAAATGTAGAGTAAATGATGTGGTGCAGTAGTGTAAATGTCCTTGGCCAAGTGGTTGTACATCACTAGTAAACCAAAGACCTCACACACCGTAACAACATTATTTTCCACGTTTTGAGTGCCCCATTTTGATAACCATATCCATGACGGTATATCTTTCCATATGAAATTGTCCAAACCCGGAGTGAACCGCTGGATACTTCATTTTGCCACCACCATTGCCCTCGTCTTCCTTCTTTTTCTTCTCATCTCCACCGCAACCACCATTGCTGCCGTCATTGTTGCCGCGGTAGTTTTTCACCTTCAAGTCCTTCAGCTTCTGTTCAGCAACCCTCTTTTGTTGTTGTTCAGTCAACACAACTCCCTCTACTGGGGCGTCAATTCCTGATTCCACAAGATTCCAGTACTCCTTTGAGCTGAGAAAATTTTCCATCAGCATGCTCCAATGATCGTAGTGACCATTAAACCGTGGAATCGCTGGTTGAACAAAACTCTCAGTGACTTTGCCATTGTTTCTTCCTGCTGCAAGACACACAATCTTTCACCCTTTTCCTCAAGGTTGTTCAGGCCCAGAAGGGGCTCTGATACCAGATGTTGAAAACTGGGATTAACTTAAACGTAAAAGGATGCTTGAACAAAAGTATTTTCTCAGTGCAAGAATACTGCAGTTTTCCTCTCTTATATATAACTGAAAACAAAGCTTACAACTTAAATACAAAATAACAATCAATGACCAGCAACACAACAAGTGCAGATTTTGTGGAGTTCAACTACCTTAAGCAATGGAAGCAAATTTGAACGTGGTGAACAGACTAAACCACAACTTCTACATTCTAGGACTCCAGCTTGACTTGGTCTTGGATGACGGGATACCTTTCCATATGAACGTTGTCCAGACCGGGACTGACCCGCTGGATAATTCATTTTGCCACCACCATTGCCCTTGTCTTCCTTCTTTTTCTTCTCATCTCCACCGACACCACCATTGCCGTCATTGCCGTCATTGCCGTCATTGTTGCCGCGGTTGCCGTCGTTGCCTCCATTTTTCTTCTTTGGTGGCACAATTACCATAATAGACCACTTCAACTTCTCAAAACGCTTAATCAATTTCTGCGGGTCTATTGGACGCCCCGCTTTCAAAAAGTGCTCCAGCCGATTCATGAGTGCATAAAAGCACTCTGTCCACGTTACCCATGTATTCATCATAGTAGAAACGACGCCGTCACATAAACGATTGATGGAGTTTATAACCTCACCTTCGATCTTTGACAACCACATACACCCTGACAGGTTCAAACGCATCAAGTGCCCTGCGATGGAGCCGTCCTCCTTCTTCTCACCCCCGTCGTTGTTGATGGTGTCGTTGTTCTTGTTCTTGTTCTCGACGCCATTGTTATTGTTCTTCTGCATGAAACCCAAAAACAAACCCCAAAACCCATTATCAAACACAAACCCATCAAGCAAACGCAAGCATATAGAGAGAGAATGAGGGCCATTGTGAGTTTTTTAGGCGGATGTATGTGTAAGTTGTGAGTGGAGAGTAGGAAACGTGGTGAGGGTAGTGGATACTTAAAGCCGAGTGAGTAGTATTTGCACGTGAATAGTAGTAGCAGCCATTGCTTGCCCATGACCTAGACTTAGCCTTTATGGGTGGAGATGCTCACTTCCTCAACCGGTTTATGCCTTCTATGATGGTGATGATGACGGGTGTGTATGATTTTATATACGTAGAGGTTTAGGCATTTGCACTTACACATGTGAAGTGATGTGCGTGTGTGGGTTGCGTCGGTGGTACGCGAAGATGAACGTTTTGGACATGGGAGAGTGTGAGAAACTTCCTTGTAAGTTGTAATTTTGGTGGACGGTGGGCTCTGACTGATTCAAAAGCTGAGAACGCGCTTTGTAATATATAAAAATATTTAAAGTTAAGCCATATATATAATATATGCATACAGGGTCCTTTTCTGGATCTGGGAAGTATGCAAATCCAAATCCGTTACGGATCTGTGTTTTGACCGTCGGATCTGGGAAGAATGCGAATAAAAGTGTTGTTTGTGTAATCCAGTAGGATAAAAACGACATTGTCTATTTAGCCTTATTCACGATTTGACCCCGACCAAGGTCTGTTGTCTGTCTTATTGGAAATTTGCCAATTGGTCCCTTTTGCAGTTGAGACCTGTTCAGATACTCTCAGGCTCAGCTCTAATTTTCCATATCCTTCTTTATCTCCTTCAACTACTCCTCACGTTCCTTTTCAAAGCATATCCGTCCACCTCATCCCCAATACGCGGCGAAACCTGGCCCACGTCAATTCCCACGCCACGTGGATAATACGGATTGGCGATTGCTCATCTGACTCCAGTTTAGTCTGAGTTGTCGTGACGTAAGGTGTTACAAGGGAAGTTAGGAAGGGGATGGATTGGGATGCCACGTCATCCTCCGATTGTTGAACTGCCCAGATAAGCCTTCTTCCAAACTGCGTGGATGCACTACCAAAAAAAAATTCATTTGTTAATAGAAACAACGGTCATTATATGCATGCACATCAATTTCACGTGAAAATCTGCCCCCCTAATTTCCTCTACGGTGAATCTAAATAGCTGGCTTTGCTTGACGATTGTATATATTTACCATTATGCCCTTGAAGGTCAATAGTAACACATCAGCTCATTAATACCATTCCTTTTGTTATGAACTCCAAAGGCAGGTTGTATAAATGTACTTGGTCACGAAAACCTATTCATGGATCGTTCTATGCTAGTGGTCAACTACAAATATCGTACAACTAAAAATTGTATGGGATAATATTTGACATGATTAACAAAAGTGGTTTTGCTTGGAATGATTCTTTGAAATGCATTGAGGTTGACAGTGATGAAGCATGGAACACTTATGTGCAGGTTAGTACATTTGTTAAGTAATTTGTAATTCTTATATTTGTTATACTTATAGTTTTATTTATAAATTTTTTCATTTTGATGCAGCATAATAAGGATGCTGATGGTTGGAGGGGGAAACAATGTCTAATATATGATAGGTTGAATAATATATTTGGGAAGGACCGAGCAACTGGTAGAGAGTCTGCAACTCCCACTGAAATGATGAATGAGCCTGTGCATAACATTGATGTCAATGATGATGATGAGGAAGTTGAAGTTGAACAAGATCATTCTGCCTCTTTGCCAAGATCAAATCAACAAAACTCAGCTAGCTCAAGCAGTCGAAACCGCAAACGAAATGGAGATACTGATATTCAAAAGGAAATGGCTAAAGCATTTGGTGAGATGATTTCTGAGTCTGTTGACCAATTGAAAACTATAAC